TGGGGCTAGCAGAGGTGGTCGGCTGTGTTATCAGGAGCACACTCACATATTGAGTAGTGCTGTGTTATATGGTTACCATGGCTTGAAATACTGTTGTCTCTGCTGGTGTCCAGCCCAATTAATTATATGGTAAATCATGAGACTTTTGTCTTTGGACTAACGTCACACACAGTTTGTACTATATACAAATAGGTACAGAAGAGCAGCTTAAAAGTGTATTTATGCAGCACTTCTGTGTTAAAACTTCTAGCAGTTTCCAAAGAGATAAACTGCATCTATTCTGAGTGAACTAAGTCTATGGGTAATCACTACCGCATATGCAAGTTAGTATAGGTATGTTTATTTCTAGGTCAATACTTTTAAATTTGCTTCTCATTTCTGTGTGCTCAGGGAAAGCAAGGTCTGACATGAAGGAAGAGGCGAAGGGGCTACAGGGGAAAGAAGCTGGGGGGCAGAGGACAAGGGGGCTACCTGGCTCCCCAAAATAATTTTCCCTGCTGTAGTGTGACAGGGGGAAGATCACATGGGCAGTCACTGCTGTGACCCACCTCTCTGTCTAGGGCAGTCTGCTCTGTCTCACCTGCCATGACTCGTTTGGATATGCATGATGTAATAAACAGGAGACTGCCCATTTAATGCCCCGATTCCATGGGGTCTACACACGGCTCCAACCTCCCCTTACCATGTTTCATGTCTTGCAGATGGCATCCAAAATTATACTTGCTCCAGCTAGAAGCTGGGCCAAACTCTGCCCCTTGCTGGACCTCTCGCACTCAATTCATAGACTCTGCCCCCTTTCACAGGGCCTCAATCACTCTGACCCCTCTCACCAGACCTCTTTCAATGCCACCCTTCACTGGGCCTCTCCCAACCCACCCTGTTCCACTGAGTGGCCTCCTTGGAGCATCAGGCTTGCCTACATACACTCTGGGCAATCTCCCCACAACCCTTTGGGTGCTTCATGCAGCCTACTCTATGAGTGATGGTCCTTTTGCCTAACACTAGGCTGACTCTGGCCCCTAGCCCCTCTCTGAGCACTTAGCTGTTCCTAATGCTCTCATCCCCTCAATGGGCCACTCTCTGCCCCCTCTCTGGGGCTTCCGGGATCCTACATTCCCCCTCAGAGGGCTCAGGTGCCTCTGTAGGCGTGCCTGACCCCGCACTGCCTGTTCTCACTCTTATTTACCCACTGAGGAGTGGGGGCTGGGGTTATAAGGAGCCCCTACCCATCTTTCACTGGGGAAGCAACTGGCCTAGCATTTCTGGGCAGCTACCCCACCACGGGTAGCCCCACCAGGCCATCCTTCCCCAGCAGGGTGCAATTTCAAGTTATACCCAGTGTGGCAGGCCAATAGGGGGTGCTTCTGCACTGAACCACCCACCTGACTGCACCTGACTACCTTCCAGGCTCCGAGTGCCTCCCTGGGGGTGCCTCATGTCCAGCTGACCTCCTTTCTGGAGCACACCCACAAAACTGGGGGTAACACCACCACCACCCAGGGTCCGGACAGATTTTTGCCTTTTTATGCCCCCTGGAAAACAGAGGCCTAGTACTTCTTGAGATTACTCAGCCTACTGCAAGAACTTGGGGTGCTTCCCTTAGTCTGAAGCACAAATGGTGGTCTCCCTTGGTCAGCCAGACCCAGGGGACCCCAAGACAATCTAGACCCTCTCCCAATAAGTCTCCCATGCTAGGTACAGAGGAGAACTTTATTGATTACAAGGAGTAGGTTTAGAGTAGGGTACAAGATAAAGCAATATCAGAGAACTACCTTAGAGCAAACAGTGGCATGGTAGCCTTTGATCACACACCTGAGTTACTACAAACTATATATCTAGTTAGATTTCAAGTAGCTTACTCACAAGTATCATCCAGAGGCAGCTGGAGATCCCCTCTGGAGGCAGGCAATTCATTGACCATGAGTTTCAAAAGAGAAAGCAAGTTTCAGATGGTCCAGCTTTTTTGAGAGTCCTCATCATGGCTGCTGACCCTCCTCCTGGGCAGTCTAACTTATATAGACCTTATGACCTCATTTATCTGATCCAATAAAGGCCAGCAGGTGTTGGCTGCCAGCCAACCAATTTGAAATGCATTACTGGGTAGACTGGTAGGGTATCTAGCCCCCTCCCAGTCATGATGACTGTGGCAGTGCACTGTGTGTGCCTGCCACTTTAAGGGCCTGGAGCTGGCAGCCTCCAGGTGCCTGATTAGGGCAGCCATTTTGGAGACAGCGGCTGCCTTTATAAGCAGGGCAGTTTGGCTGCTGGAGGCCAGGCAGCAACATCGCCTGGCCGAAGGGCTGCTGAGAATGACCCCAAGGTAAGGGGGAGCTGCAAGAGGTTGGCAAGGAGGCTCCTGGTCCTGGGCATGACCTGAAACTGCACCCTGCTGGGAGTGGGTGGTCTGGTGGGGCTCTCAGTGGCGCGGGAGCCCCCAGGAAATGCCAGGCCAGTGATCACCCCGGTGAAAGGCGGGTCGGGGCGCCTTAACCCCTAGCTCCCACCACCGGGTGGGTAACCCCATGTGTTGGTTGAGGGGCCCAGGGGGCCAATGTTGTGAGAGGCCCAGAGGGTGGACCCTGAGAGAGAGTGAGGGGCTAGAGACCTGGCCCGAAGGAGATAGTACCCTCGACTGGCCCATGCTGGGGCCAGGACCAGAGAGGGTCAAAAGGGCCAGGGGCCCACCGTGAGAGACGCCCAAGAGCCAGGGGTCCCGACTGGACTGGAGGTGAGCCAGGGCCAGTTAGCCGAAGGTCCCGGGGGGGACCACACCCGAGAGGGGAAAATGGCTTTGGGGGGGCTAGTAGCCCGGATGAAGGCGGAGAGGCCACCTGATCAGGAGGGATCATAGAGGGGTCCTGTTTGGACGATTCTGGGGCCCAGCGTGGGGGCCGGAGGAGATGAACATCAAGATGCCATCTGCGAGGCTTGGGCTGCGGTATTAGGGGAGGTCGGAGCCGCAGAGAGCGCCCCTGGTATCAGGGCACTAGATGGGCAGCCTCTCGCTTAACTGACATCTTAATTAAACCAATTATCATCAAAGGCATGGTGGGCGAGACAAGTGGGCGGTTGCCCACCAGACAGAGGGCGGGCCATGGAGATCGGCCCCGGGAGGCCCCCTGTCACAATGACATTGCTTAGATATCACAATGACAATAGGCAGTTTAAGCCCCACCCTGCTATGTGAGGCCAGTCACATAGGCAGAAGGAGCAGGTTTCCCCCTCCCTCAGGAATGTATCCAGCTCAGGTTACAACTCAGGGTTACCTGAAGCAGATGGGGCCAGGGGTATCTGTCCTCTGCAGTGAACATTGTACCTAAATTTTTAGATGGGTAATAAGACTGATAGCAGAGTTTTGGGAGAGACAGAGAAGACATTCTGCCACGACCAGGACCAGGACCAGGACCAGGACCAGGACCAGGACCAGGAGCCTCCTACCATCCCCACAGCCCCTGCCCTTACCTCCAAGGTGTTCCTGAGCAGCCGCTCAGCCAGACCTTGTTCTGTCGGCTGCCAGCAGCAGACTGTTGGCTCAACCCTGAGAGCCTGAGCTAAAATGGAATCTGCTCAGCCCTCCCCTCCAGTCACATGGCTCTTAATGGGTCATGTGACCACCTCATCAGGGCTGGCCTGCACCTGCTGGTTGTCCTGCTGTCACTCAAAGCCCTTAAAGTGACAGGCACCAAAGGTGCTCTGTCACATGTAGCAGTGGGAGGAGAACAAATTCAAGGCAACCTCCATTAATTAGATTCTATACCTGGAAAATTATAGCGAATTTATAAGTTTTCCATATATAGAATCTAATTATTGGGGGTTGTCTTAGAATCAGGGTCTTCTTATATGTGAGTAAATATGGTATATAGGAAATATTCCTGATCAAATTACAATTTTAAGGTAAATCAAATTCTGGTTCTGATAGAGTATTTTGAGAAAGTAGTGTATTAGAGCTAATACTAACATATTACATTTAATACAGCTCTCAGGCTGGGGAAAAAAAACAGCCTGGCAAGTTTAACCATAGAGACTGGAAGCTAACCCCCAGAAGAAGGGGAAATTGCTAGCCAGGCTCTGCTATTCCTATATCCTCTCTCTAACACTTTCCTTTAATCTTCCTGTAGGCATACAAGGAGCATTCCCACATAGATAAAACATAAAGAAAAATATTCTGACCCATTCACTTTGTTGAACAGACACTGAAACCTTAATGCCACGCTTTTCATTCCAACTACTTTATCTAGAGTTGATCACCATTTGCCCTGCATTATTATTTCCATAACCTGTGCTCCATCCTGAGCTTGCTTGAACTTATTATACAGAATGATATGCCTTAGAAGCAGTACCAAGCAACCCAACTAGAACTAGACTAATCAAATACTACAAGCCAAAAAAGTTCCTCATTGCTAAACCTTCAATATAGGAATTCAGACCATCTCAGCTGTATGTCAGATAGAAAAAATGATACTTGAGCAACTGTAGTTGTTAACAAATCATAATCCTCTAGAAAATGAGGAAAACAGTAGAGATTAAGTTCCTCATTATTCTAGAATGAAGTGTTACAAATGGAAGGTTGAGATATAGCACTCCCAAGGCCTACCAAATATTTTCAGAAGAATATTTTTAAAAAAAAAAGGAAATGTAAAAGCTTTGGTTGAATTATAGTATATTCTGTTTGTAAGGTCAAAACAATTGATGTTAGTGTGCGTGTGTGCATGTGCACACATGCACACGTGCAAGTGCACACCGATTCATTCAGACACATATTGCAATTTGCACACACATGCTTAAACATACACACAATTTAAGCAGACCTCTAGTCTCCTTGTAGGACTGCTTCTGTTTTCTGCAGAACAGCTCTTACTACATATACTGTACTAGCAAAGAAGCTCATTTCTACCAGTGATCCAGGAATGGGATTCTAATATTTATTACTGCTAATCTTTTTGGAAAAAAGATCTAAATGCTGAGATAATAACTATGTAACTCCAGATGAAGTAGGTAGACTGATTATATTTTCTTAATTTATTATGTTGAAATAGTCTACATTGTCTTGGCTCAAAAAATGCCCTGAAATGTTTGTACCTTTGCTACTAAAATATAACAACATAGACTCAACTAGGACACTTCAAGGCTGCCTTCTAAGGAAACCATTAGTATGAGTGAAGATCTTCCAGTCCCTAAAAACAAACACATTTGATAAACCATTCAGACTGAAAATAGAATGTATCCAAGTAACAGCTGTAATATTTAGTTAATAATCCTTATTGCCAAAGTAACATTCCATATAAAAGTGCTTCTCTTTTAAGACTATTTGTTGAAATAATATGATTAGTTATTTCACACGCGCACCTTTCTGCAAAATCTTGTACACAATTTTATATGGCAGTTATGAGATTATATAACCTATATTTACACTGCTGACCAAGTGCATAAAACTGTACAGAATCATTCAGTTCCTTTCTACATGCAACAAAATTGGCAGCGTGTGGAAAGTTTTTATCTTTATACATTTGTAAATAACTATATCACACCCAAAAGGAAAATGTAAATTACATTCATTTACAAAAATATTAATAACATTTTCAGTAACTAACCTGAAGCTGCTGTTCCTTGAACATATCTGGATGTGGGGAATTGAGAATATCATCTGCCAATTGTGCTTGGCTATCAATATTAACTGGAGTTGTAGCTTTGCTGCACAAAAATTTATTGAAGATCTCTCGAGCTCTGTAAGAAAGCTACAAAACACGCATGTGGTATAAGCATCATTTATTTGCAAATATGTTAAATGTAGAATATTTTTTATGCTTCGGCCCACAAAAGAAAAATATAACCCAATATGTGTTTTCTTAATAAAACAGGAAAATGTAATTTGGTCTCTCGAGATAAAAAAAAAAGGAACTTTATTTTTATACTTTAAGTATGTATTATTTTTCCCCCTAATTCTGTTGCTCTGGATTTTTCCTTGTTGTTGTTTATTGAGATTTACAACTCTAGAAGCTACCGTTAATTGCAATTTTGATAAACATAACTTTTTGTTAATATTTCTGTGGTCAACATTTTTATTTTGTTTAACATTACAAATATGTGTCATAACTGTTCCTAAGCTATGAGATGTTCCCATCATGAGAGTGTAAAGATATTCAAGCTGCAAAGATAATAAATGTCAAGCCTGTCAAATGCTGCTTCACAAAGAACAGAAGCCTGTGGTTTGAGGTGTTTTTAAAAAAAACAAAAAAACAAACAAAAAAAAAACAACACACTACTGAAATAAGTTCTTAGCAGTTTAAAATTCAAGAAGGCAACAAACTTAAAACATATACTTGAATATTTGTAGCTAAAAACATTCTTATGCTTTTTCTTTTTTAATTTATTTAGTTTCCAGACACAAAAGTTGTGGATGTAATGACACAAATTGAAACAAGCTAGATTTATTGTAATGAAAGTGTGTCAGAATATACATAAACTGAAGACACAGGGAGAAAAAAGAAAGAACAAATAAAAAGCTGAGTAACCTGAGAAATGGTAAAACATGGACTAGGCTGAAGAAAAAGCCTGACCCTCAAAGGTGTCAAAGAATATAGCCCCAAGATTAGGGGTTAATGATATTAATTTTCACTACTCGTTCTGCTGCCAAATTTCTGGCCCTGTGGGAAGCATTGCGGCTGGATCTGGAGCACAGAGCCATGTCATCTGGCTTGCTGAGCTGCCTTTTGGCAGTGGAAAGACTGATAGCTGCAGCGGCTCCCAAAGCTCCAGTAATCAATGCTGCCACTACCAAACTTCCAGCCCCACAGACCAGATAACATAATCCCATGCTTCAGATCAAGTCTATGGACCAACCACACTCCCCAGCCCGGCCTGCAAGGATAGATGAGTTGTACATCACACCATATACTGAGGCTATGTATACCCTGCAGAATGACTTGAACATCAAACTTGCCTTGAGCCCTGGAAGCTAATTTGCCCCCTGCTCAGCAGCATGAATTAACCTGCAGAGAACTCCATGCTGCCATGGCCAGTCTTCCTCCAGCAACAGCCAGCTTATCTTATACTTCTACATTGCACTGCAGTCTTCAGCAGAAATATATGCTAAACCTTATGATAATGGTTAAACGCAGGTGTTGAGGTAGATCTCATCTACCTAGACTTTAAGAAGGCCTTTGATACGGTACCACATTCTGTTCTCATAAATAAACTGGCAGGCTGCGATGTAAATGATTACATAGTCAGGTGGTGGCAAAGTGGCTAAGGGGTCTCACCCAGAGAGTGGTGCTGGATAGGTCGATATCGACCTGGAAAGATGTGGGCAGTGGAGTCCCACAAGGCTCGGTTCTTTTACCGGTGCTATTCAATGTCTTCATCGGTGATTTGGACAAGGGCGTAGAGAGCACCCTGTCCAAGTTTGCAGGTGATACCAAATTATGGGGCAAAGTGAACACACCAGAGGTTAGGGAAAGGATCCAGGCAGATCTGGACAGGTTGGAAAAATGGGCAGAATGAAATTGCATTTGTCTTTGTTGAACTGCATCCTAAGTGCTGCACCTGGGCAAAAAGAACCACCAACACACTTACAGGCTGGGGGATGACCTTCTCAGCAGCACAGCAGTGGAAAGGGATCTTGGAGTCATAGCTGACTCCAAGATGAATGCAAGTCGTCAATGTGACAAAGTGATCAACAAGGCTAACCGCACTTCATCATGCATTAGCAGATGCATGACAAACAGGTCCAGGGAGGTGATGCTTCCACTCTATGTGGCACTGGTCAGGCCACAGTTGGAGCATTGCGTCCAGTTTTTTAGCAGAACAAATTCTAGGGGAAATAGAATGCAATGTACTTAGAGACCTGGGAGGATAATTGTGTGTATTTGTTTTTAACCGTAAGTAATCAGGAAGAAATGTCCTGGGAATGAAGGAAAGAAGATTACAAGGAAATAAAAGGATTATTCATCAGGGAAAAGACTGCAGTACAGTTACAGACCAGCTCCACAATTAGATGAGGAATGTGAACCACTACTTTTTAAAACCTGTCTGGACACAAGATAATAAGCTGGACAAATCAAATGATTAATGTTAGTATGCATTGGCCTCTATTTTTAAGAATACAAAAGAAAAAAAAGAAGTAATTTTTGGGGGCCTTCAAGAGGAGGCTGGAAAAGCAACTAGCTGGGGTAATCTGACCCCAGCGGTCTTTCCTGCCCGGGGCAGGAGGTCAGACTCAATGACCTACTGGGGTCCCTTCTGACCCTAACATCTATGAATTTATCTATGAATGGGATTTAGAGAGAGATTCTCAAAGGACTGAGATCCTAAGAGAGACCCCCTAAACCAAAATGACAGTACCAACGTAATTCTGATGGAACCACAGTGCAAGGACTAAGTGACCTCAGCTGACTTATAGGAGTATAAGCTTTCAGCAAGCAAACTTAATATGTGAAAATATAAAATTCTTTTACCTCTTTTTTGTCATGTGCAGGAACATGGTTAAAATATTCACAGGCCTGCCAGAATAAAATGTTTTCTTCACTAAACTCCTTCCGTAAAAATTCCTATGGGGAAAAATAAACAAACAAGAAATAAACCATAAAGAAAAAAACAATTTGTTTAAAAATTTTAAATGCTTATAATTAGATGAAAAGGAAAAAAGTTTGAAGTGTATGTAATGTTCTAATCCAGTGAACTATTTCTGTTAGTTTCAGTCAGGTTTAATTTTAAGCAAAACCAAACTTATGATAAATTTTCCCCTTTTTTTCAAAATACATTCAATTTGGAAAAATGAATCAAGTTACAAGCAATATATTTCAAAGAACAAAGAATATATTTAAAGCTCTGCATGCATTTAGACTGGTTCACATATTAATTAACACATTTTAGATAAGGATGCAAGTAATTTATAATTATACCAAACTTGTTCCACTGTAGGAAAGTTGCTTATTTTTAACTGCAGTTCTATTAGAATACATTGCAAAACGCTAACCATTAGCCCCTAGAGTGCAATTCTGTGCTTAAATAATTGGTCCTCGCTTCTATGATTATTCACCTGAGTGGCTGTTTACAGAATAGTGCCCCAAATCAATTCTCTAGTTATTAAGTCTTTCTGCATCACAGAAATTATTAAATAACCTTCAATTTTGATCACTTATCTGGTCACACTTGCTCTCTTGAGAAGATGCTTCTTTTAGCAAAAAGGTAAATCTGTCAGTATTATTTATAATTAATATATTCTTATTACTTTATTTTCACTAGGACACCCAAAGGTCCTAGTAAAAACTGGGACTCCACTGTGCTGGACAATGTACAAACAAAAACTTGTTCCTGCTCCAGAGAGCAGTGCAATTGGATTTTCTCTCTGCACATCCTTCTCGCAAACACTTAATCCATTAAAAGAGACAAAGGAATCCAACTGGAAATATGTATTTTTTTTAATTGGGCAAGCAAGCAACACCCACAATTTTCAACAATATCTATTCAGGCTTTATTCTCTGAAACTTCATACAATTAAAAATTTGGTTCCAAAATATTGATTCTTCTTTCATGTACATTTTACACTGTATTCACTGGAATTATCCTGATTTACACCTGTTTTGAGAGGAATCTTTACAAAAGCATGTTGGACCAAACTGTAACAATGCAGCAGCAGAAAGATGGGTGGGAGAACAGGACATGAGTCCCACGTCCTGCCAAGGCAGGGGATGAGTACCAGCATATATACTCAAGCAAGTGAGACATTAGTGAAGGGCATCCTGGGAAATACAGTTCTAAAATGAGGTTTTCTGCGGCTGGGGGTATGTCACCTACTTATTTTGCTGCCAAAAACTAATGCTGTTTGGTCATTTGACACACACATCGGCAGAAAAAAAAGAGGTGACATTTCTCCAAGAAGACAGACAAATTGTAATTAGATTTGAAGAAAAGTCTCACTCTTAATTCACAAATTATGAGCCTATTTAGGCTGCTAGGGTGAGCAAAATACAAGTAATGGCAAGAACCAAATATTCAACCTCTTCCTCCTTTAATGAATTCCTTATACCATCATACTTCTTATGATGAAGGAAGTCCTAGTTTTCCCCCTGGGTTCTTACAAAATTCTCATAATTCATTCTGCTTTTTAAAATAGTTTTGACCACATTAACCAACTGTGTTGATTTGGGTATGTGTACTGTAGCAGACTCTTTGACTGAGAACTAGTCAGTTAACATCTACAGGTGCCTATACACAAGCCGGGAGGCTACTGCAACGTGTGGCAATTACCATGCTCCAGCCAGCCTCCGTGTCTCATGTACCAGTGTCCCCGTGCTTCAAAATGGTGGCAGGGGCACTTTAAAGCTTGTTAAATGAGCTTTACATAAAGCGTCCCCACTGCCATTTTGAAGTGTGAGGCCACTGATACATGAGACGCTCCAGGTGCTTTAATTAGACCAGCTCTTGGGGCCCCTCTAATTAAAGCACCCTTCCCTCCCTGCTCCCAGAGCACATGTAAAAATGCCCCTCAAGCCTCAATCTCTCTTCTGCAAAATAGGAATATTACTTATTCATAGGTGTCTTGTGAGGTTTAATTCATAGTTTGCAAATATTTAGCATTACTACTGTGACATTCAATTCTAACCAAGGCCAGTTACTACTTCATTCTCTAATGGATTAGAAGTATCAAACTAACATACTTCTTCAATATAGCTAAATATACATTGTCAGATCATTTGAAAGAAGCTTCCACAAGTTGCTTAAAAGTTTTGAGTAGTCAAATTATTAAATGTTCAACAAATTCCTTAGAAATTATTTAGAACAATATTTACTCCGTAAAAATGTTACGTTGCATGCCACTGTCCACTGCCATAAGAAATACAGAAACTTTACTAAAAATACACAGAGAAAGAACAGTAAAAGCTTAATTGCTACACACTGATATAAGTATCACTGGGTTACTATGGAAGCAGGTTCAGCTATAAGGTCAGTTTACTTTCAGCTAAAATACATATTTAAACGCTAATTTTTCATTACAACGATCTTATTCCAAAATATCAGGATGTGCTGAGAGCAGTGCAAAAACCCTTTGAAAAGATGCCATATATTTTGGAAATCATCTCCCTGTCCCTCCCTACTTACAGAAAAATATTTAATGCCAAGTGGATCTTGAAGAAGACGTTCAAATGAAACAGCCCAGCTTGCAACTCTTCTTTCACGAAGTCGCCGACAGCTCTGCACACTAGGAAGACTAGCATTGCTACTGAGGCTATTCTCACTGATGCAGTCCTTTAAATCAGTACTGTTCAGCTCTGTTGGAATAAAAAGCAACACACAGGCTTATCAACAACACTTTCTTGCTCATCTCCCCCCTCTCCTTAGTAATATATTTTTTACTAGGCTTTACATGACACCCACATATGGTCACAATAGTGTAAATTTCATAAAGATGCCCTTCCCCCTTCTTTGAAATCAGTGAAAAAAATAACTCCCCCAAACTCTCTTCCTTCCCACTGCCAAGAGAACTGCACTACTATTGTAACTGCAAAAGGAAGTATTCTGGCAGCAACCACTACCAGGACTGCAAAGGAGCAAGGAGAAGGGGAAGTGTCCCCATTATTTGCCCCCAAAAAACAGCAATTTGGGCGCACATGCACCACAAACCCCTCTATCCTTTCAAAATCATCATGTGGCTAGCTTCCCTCCACAGAATTTCACAGGGAGAATGGACTTTTAACACAGATCCAGAATTCCCACGAAAGAACAGAAGCAGCAGAACCCACAGTCATCAGAGGCCTCATAGTATAAGTTCCAAAATGGATGGGGAACCCTCACAACAGCAGACACTAGAGGTGCACTGATACACTGGTCCATATCATATCAGCACCAATAAAAGGAAAATTGACACGATCAGCAATCGGCTTTTTTGGTTAATATGGCCAATAATGTTGCCGATAAATGCCACGTGCACGCGCGCAGGCGCAGCGCACATGCAGCTAGGAGTGCAGCGTTCAGCTGGTAAGTCTGTGGGGGGGGTACGGGGGGCAGATCGAGGCCTCTCCAATGAGGGAGGGAGGGAGGAGGGCAGGGGCTGAGGCACAGGCTGCCCAGCCAGGGCTGTGGGGGGAGCAGGGCACAGGATGAAGCCACAAGTGGCTCATGTGGGGGACATGCAGCACCAGGGGACGCATGGGGGGGCACGTGCCTCCCCAATCTATGTGCGGGGCAAGGGTGGGCTGCTGCTGAGTGCAGGGCCGGTGCTGGGCTCTTCCCAGTGCAGGGGTTGGCCTGGGGCTACACTTGGACAGATGGTGGCGGTGCTGGGAGGGGGGGCTATGGTGAAGTTTGGTGTGGCTGGAGCCCCGCCCATATCCCCTCTCCCAGCACCGCCACCACCATCTGCCCCAAGTGCAGCCCCAGACCATCCCCCCGCCAGGAAGAGTCCAGCACTGCCCCTGGCCCCAGAGTTCAGCATCAGCCCACCTTCACCCTGCACAGATCCGGGGGTGGGGGGGAGCACATACCCCCCATCCCTCCCCTAGGGGTGCACACAGTGATGGGAGCCACCACCACCCCACTCTTCGTATCCCCCCAGGATGAACCGCTTGTGGCTCCATCCCGCATCCTGCCCTGGCTGGACAGCGCATGCCCCTGCCCCAGTCCCACTCCCTCCCTCACCATGGGGACCTTGATCTGGCTCCCCCACACTCCTTCCCTCCTAACAGATTTACCAGCCAGATGCTGCTCTGCAAGCTGCTGGGCTTGCATATTCGCAATCGGATCAGTATTGGCCGATAAGGCTCATTAATAATCTGCCATTGGTTTCGGCCCAAAAAAATCTTCATCGGTGAACCCCTAGCAGACACCTAACCCCGTTTCCTGGAGAACAGCAAATAGGCTACAAGTACTCTTGGGTCTCCAGCGGCCTCCCTATCACATGCAACTAACAAGCCAGGGTAGGTACTTCTCAGGCTGTTACTGTTCAATCTTTCCTTTTTAGAGGATTTTGAAGCTTTCTTAACAGGATACAGCAACAGAAAAAAATCTATAGAAGTAATAGCTTGATTTCATCATATAATTGTTTCTAAAGAAAATAGCTTACTTTTTTGGAAAAATAGCTATGGCTACCAGCATTTTCCATGTGAATAAACAAAAACTAAAGCATTTAAAATAAGAAAATACATACCGCAAAAATAAACCCAGTCACAAAGTATTCACATAGCAGAAAACTGAATCCAGTAACTCTCAATACCAGGCTGATGCACTTGATGCACCTGATGCACTTTTCTAAGTCACAATTTGGCAGATATTTTTGGCATTGTAAACAACTGAGAAGTATTTCAGAGATGAAAAGAAAGATTAACAGATATGCAGAATAACAGGAGTGAAAGGGATATCAAGAGGTCACATAGGTTAACCCCCAGCTCAAGGCAGAATCATTTCTGTCCAAAAAAACCAGAACAAGATTCCAAAGAGAATTCAGTGTAGAGTGGCAGGATTGGAGTAATTTCAAAATATTCATCATTAATCTGAGGTAACCTAAGCTATGTAACAGTAAAGATAGCATGTGCAATAGTTACGGTAAAAATAACCACACAACTGACAGAGTTAGGAAGACTAAGGACATTTCATTGGTCAAACAGGACAACACAGCACTCTGTGTTGAAACTCCTGGACTGCAATCTCAGTTCTAATATGTATTTGCTGTATGAACTATTTTCGTCATGTCTCCGTTTTACCCATATATACAATTACTGTAATAATACTTACAGTTACCTACCTCACAGGGGGTGATCTGAGGCTTACTTAATTGTAAAAGTTCTTTGAGATCCTCAAATGGAAGGTGCTATGGTAAATGCAAATTATTTTTACTGGGCCAGTTGGCTTTTTCCTGTTCCTAAAATGTCTTATGTTCTTATGAGGTAAAAAAAGAAAACTATGAGTTCTGTTTGGGGAGAGTGGTATGAAAAAAAAGAGACAAAAGAAAAAGGTTATCATTGGACTCTGTAAAAAGGGTGCAGGAGTAGAGGATGAAAGAAGACATCTTCAAAGAAAACATCACTAATAATGCTACATACAGATGGACTCTTACCCAAAAGTAAGTATGCAGCTTACAGTAAACACAACTTAATTGTGAAAACTGCACTCACAGTCTGTAAGAAATGGCCTGGTCTACAGACAGGGGTCAAATCAAAATGGGGTACAACTAACCATAAACAGGGAGCACATTCACTAAAAATGATTACTTTATGGAAACTCTGAAAGTCTCCCATTCTGTTATATATTTAAAATGGATTTGCATTTCCATGGTCTAACACAAAATACTGCTGCATCTCCTACAAAGCATTCATGTCAGAGAGACCTTTAATAGGTAGTCATGACAGTGAAACACCTGCAAGATTTCTTTACAAAAAAAGAATGCTGTTCTTAAGATTTGTTATGAAAAATTATATATATTCTAATTTAGCAAATATACAATTAAGACATAATAATTAACCACTGAAATTTTCATGTTAGCAAAATGAGAATTTATTAAAGCAAATCAAAGTAAGGACAGAGATCTGCCTTGGAAGGAAATGAAACTAGACTATTTATTGCATAACTTTCAAGAAGATATTTAAGGCTCCACAAAAAAACACATACATAAATAGTTCAGTTTTTCTGTCTCTATTACAGTAAAAAAAAAGATACATCAGTTAATGTCGGGTTAACTTCCTTATCCCAAAAATCTATTCATATTTTCCTTCAAGGAGATGCACCAGGAAAGACAGGACAGAACTAAGTTAGGTGTTAAACCTGCCATTGGGCAAGGGAACAAGGAGAATTGTAAGACTTCTCCCCATAGAATAGCTATTGAGAAGTAAGTCAGAATGTGAACTTAAAACTAGAACTGTTCTGTGCCAGCACTTCGTGGAAACACTCTCATTACACACTGTGTGAGACCTTTTATTTCTGTTTTACACCTCATGAAACAACTATTCTGCACACACATATTCTAGGCTATCTACTCATGTAATCAAGCTTTAAGAAAATTAGTTTTCTGCAGAGCATAAAGAGTAGCAAAAAATCATCCAAAAAAGTTGCTTGTGGTGCAAGAACCATCTTAAATAGTCCCCAAAGTTTAACAGTTTACAGAACTCGAAATTGTCTTCCTTGGTACTGAACATTTTTAACACATGCAGATGGTTTCAGAAATAGAAAGCCATCATTTTTATTACTAATAAATCAATTAACCCGCAAGCTCCCTTGTTCTTCCCAAATAAACTTAATCAGTGTTTTGCCAAATCTGCCCAGATTTCTAGCTGGGTTTATGTTAAAATCAATATCTAAATAGAAACATTTCCAGAAATCTTTGTACGTGTAGCAAGCTATTTCAGTGACTGGGATGAAAGACATCTCGAAGTATAGGTAATGTGTTTAATTTATGCTTGTTCTGCACAGACCCCTGATGGAATTGGGTCAAATAGCAAATGAAGGTCATCAGAAGAGGAAAGTCTTAAATTTGCCTGCCTGGTGTATGACCCAAGTCTAGTTCATAAAGTCTGTGAGTTCCCTCCTACTTCTCCCATGCATGTCAGAACTACTTTTTGTCATGCCTAGCTTCTGCCCCTGAGAACTTTGCACTCATTCGCATATTCTCTTGGCTAGTCACATCTGACTAAACACCCGAATAGCGAGTCAGATGAATCCTTGGAATTCCTTACCCAAATACCCAACACCACGCAGGTTTCTCAATCGTGTAATTAGAGTCTGGTTCACTTTAGGCCCTTCCAGATGAAATACAAAGTTAAGAGTTGGTTAAGAGGAATCCTTTGGAACATTTTCTGGAAATACTGAAGGGGGAACTTCTGACTTTGAAACCTCTCTCCCCCACCCCATAGCATTCTACTCTATGAAACAAATCCCTACATGCCTGTTTCCAGTTCCTCTTTGCACTTACAGAACCTTCCTACTTTCTTCACATACTCCCCAACTACCTTCTCTGCTACATTTCTTTGCACATTAGTTAACACTCTCCTGCTGCACTTCATCGCTACACTTTAGGTCATTTTATTCCAGGAACGTCACTACCATCTCTTCAAGGCATAACAGCAGTTTTGTTCTTTTGTTTCTTCTACCAGGCAGAGTAATTTTTTCCTCTTATTCTGTAATTCCAATCCAGAGATATAACAATATTTTCCCCAATATACAAGACAAAAAATATTTTTTCAAGTCTTGTTCACAGTGCCACTTATTTTCTATATATAAATTCTGAATGTGACGGAAAACATTGAAGCTTAGATTAACCTTACTAACTACATACAATGTACCA